ATTAAGAGTAGAAACGAGAGACAAACGCGCAGTAATGCACTGATCGTTTGCAAAAAAAAATGATTTTAATATATGTATATATGGTTTATATACACTCGTTTGTAAAAAGATTGATTTTTAAATATACACTCGTTTGCAAAACCTTTGAATTATATGTCTTTTGTTGCCTCCCAATGAAAAGAAAACTGACAAAGACTGGACCCTATTGAAACTAAACAACAGATTGACAGAAGGAATATGTATAACTCATATCAGTTGCAAACGAGTGTATATATTATATATACCAGTCAAATTTTTACTTTGTATTAGTCCCAAGTATTGATGACCATCTTACGTCACTGACTATAGATAATGTAGAATTTATTGAAAAACAGTATTTTATGACTCTACTGTTAATGCAGTTATTTCCAGACCTATCGGTCTTCTGTGCATGCTCAGCAATATTCCCAATACTCTGGAAATTTAACACTAACAGAAAAGTTTGAGATGATTCAGAGAATTAGCAATGTTGACCTTGTGTTTTAGGAAAAGGATACTTAGCAATTAGTGYCATTGATCAATCTGTGGGATTCCTGTGCGACTCATCTCAACCTTTCAGATTATTTTCCTCTATATTTTGTCTTTATAAATAAATACCATTCTCCTTTAAATAAAGCGCATCGATTGTTTTTCAGTTTTCTTTTTCGTCTGATCACAACTATCAATATAAGTTTATATGTTATTATGAATTCAAGTATTTCCATATCCAGTAATCTTATCTCGTCAGTGTAAAACCGTTCGAGTGAAGTCTGTTCAAAATAGGATATCCATTGACAACTTGCTGTGTATACTTTCAGGTGCAAAAACAAATCATTAAACTCATAAATAACGGTATACTTTGTATAATGTCTTAATATCTGGTATGAAATAAAATAAACTTCTTCATTGAACTGTACACCTAGAGTGTTCCTCCTAGTCCGACGCTCTCTCTTCCCCTCAATATATAAAYMGTTCACCCATCCTTCTCCCACTAGGAGGTTGGCATTTTAAATAAAATCATCTAACTACAAATAACAAGTGGGTGTGAACTAACACATGCGTGGAATACCTGCGGTAGCCAACCACGTTCAAACGCTCGCACGGACAARTTCGCGACAACTGTTCTGATTGGTCATGACGTCAGTGATATAAAATTCATATCATAAATGAATAAAACTATAAGAAGCATCGAATACATATCGCCAGAAATAATTGATCTGTAGCACGTGCATTTTACGGCCATGTTTGGCCAGGTGGCGCAGCCATCCAAATATAGAAATGCTGAGACATCATCGGTCTTAATCCATCTCATAGGATGAAGCGACCAATGATTGGCAGATGGAAAACCATTGTCTGATCCGTTGGACTTGCATGCAACCGCAATGAAATGTGTTAGTAGATACCGGGAATGCCGTCAAAATGTCCACGACATCGACTTTGCCAGTAACCGCCCTTATACACATATACAAATGTTCTTGTGTAGGGATCCTCACGTGGTACAAACCACCTGAAAACAATTACAAATATCATCAATAAAAGTGCGCGTAATGAAAGATAATTCACAGTAACAATGAAATGACGTCATACCTTGGTGTCCACGCATCTTGTGACGTCTCTCGATCTCGTCTTGCTGCTCTTTGTTTTTCCTCCAAACGATGTTTTTCTTTGGCGGAATCATCGATCTAGAAAGGAAGATGAGACTAATAAGATCATTTTGAAGGAACCGCGGACGAAGAAACGAAAATCATTACCTTTCCATCCTCTAGATGTCGTATATCCGGCCTGTTTCGACAGTCAGTTGGACACGATTGACCTGAAAAGTCCATTTAGTTGATTTATCACACAAATTATATCAATTTCGTTTGTATTTTCACTATACTCCTGGTGATCACGACGATTTGACAAATAATAAGCAATGTTTTGTACTGGTGCTGGTTACCGTAGTCGGGGTCATTTAGCTGAATCCCAAAATTTGTAAAGGCATACATCCTAGAAAGATAAAATRAGAAGACCTTTTTCACCAATATGTTTTGCATCTTATAATAACAGTCTCCAGTGGCCTAAAGGAATACTAAATTAATAGCGATTTAATCATACATCAGCGATTTAATTATACGTGCAGGGTGATAATGGCCTTTTTTGCGTTTAGAAAACAAGTTGCATAAGGAGTCTGTGGTTTTACACCAAAGCGAGACAGATGGAATCGGACACAACCCCAAAATTGTCCTTTTGGGGCTTGCTTATCTATTTGCAGTGGCAGAGGGAAATAATTTTTGTTGGAAAAAAGTCATTATTTGGATATGACTTAGTTGAAATCAAACAACAAACATGTTGCCCGCTTTGAGGTCTGTTTCTCTTCATATCTCTTTGAATGCTATTAATTTGCGAGGGCGTTGCGAGGATAAAAGTTCGGCTGAAGAAGAATCAAGCTGTGGCAGTGGGTGTCAGCTTGTAGCCCGCAGATAGAAAAAATAAAACACAAAGCACATTTAGTTATAAAACGTTTCTTTCCGCTTTTCTTGGTCGATGCCATTATGCAAGTAGAACCTCGCATAGATTCTTCGTGGTCATCTGCGATGAATGGGTGGGGGTGGGGGTAGGGGTGGTTGTTTGATTTCATTTTTGTTTTAAAACTAAGTGCTCAACTAAGCGTGATGTCAAAAAAAAGCCATACGCGCAGCACAGCTTGGCGACAAATCCATAAGAATATTCCACTATACTTGATATTAGGACGAACTTACTTGTACGAGTCGTCCGGTCTTCGATTTACTGACCACAAATCAATTGGGTCAGCGGTATTCAGATCTAACAATACAACCAACATGTGTCAGTGACCGCAACTAAACCGCTTAGCAGATGTAACGACCACAATGCTTACAACTAACTCCTTTACACCTGTGAATTACATTTATTACAAAACACAACCTTTGGAAATGTCATCGACTGAATTACCTCCATCTACTTGCCGGCATTCAAGAGATCGATCCCAGTGGCCATCAATAACATATCGTATATTACCTTCTGCATCTTTGACTTCACCTAACCAGGAATGAAATTTTCAGGAAATTAATTTCTAGTGTTTCGGATCATTTTACAATAGAAAGACCAAAGAATAAACGTTGATAATTGCAAAACCAATAGCCGATTTGCGAATTTCGCTCCAGTTATCAAACACAAAAGACGAGAAAAGACGAGACGCCGTGCGTAAAGCTCGAGTCAATCGTGAAAAAACCCTACAATTTTTCTTTTTACGAATGACTGAGCTTTATGCACGGCGCCTCGTCTTGATTCCTTTGTGTTTAACTACCGAGGCAAAAGCAAGCCAGCTATTTAAATAGCTCTTTGGGGTTACTTCTACTTTACAACATGAGCATACCTTTGAGAACTTTGAATTTATCCTGCACTTTCCTGACAGGCATGAAGTGCATCGTGCAAGTTTCTTTAGTTTGGTGGTTTGTAACTAGGACGTCCCCTTCCTTAAACATAGTAATCCCATTGAATATTAAATGGATGAAAAAAGACAATGAAAAAGTCAGAACATTCAATGATCGATACCTGATCCACATACAAACTGCCAACCAAGATATTGTGTATAGTTGTAATGGGCTTTTTCCATGAAAAATGATGTCCATTGGTTTTAAATTTYAAATGACATGTTCCAGTTGGTATGACTTTAAAGAATTGTCCTCTAAACTTAGTGTCCAGGCTATACTCTTGCCAAAACACCCAGTGATCAGACTCTGCATGAAGCGCGGAGATTGGGGGATGATGGGATACCTGCCAAGTGCATCAATAGAAATAAGACAGAAACCAAGAAAAGGTACGTTCAATTATTCTTGTCGAGTTTGCATTGTTCAGCGTTCTTTAGGGTAGACAATATACAATCGAAAACGTATCGGGGGCTAGGGTCAACTCACGACAGAGAACGGGAAGGTCTGACCGATCAAAATTTGTCCAAGTTTTCCATTTTATATGATTCTCTTCAATAAACAGGAATGATTAATATGGAAATTCTCGTTATATTCGGCCACTGTCATTCTGACAAATGGACAACAATTACGTCACGAATTTTAGCCTGGACTGTACAGCGCATGCACATAACATCGTCATGATTTGGGGGTCCTTAAATCAACTAATTGTGAGCGCTCCCTTGGGATAGGTGCCTTGCCTCGTTTTCATGTTGTACTTGTAGGTTTCCCGCCAGTTACTACAGGTCATTCATGATCGGTTTCAAGTGCCTTTTGCATAGCTTATAATTTTTATTTAAATGTCTTATTCCTTATGATCTCGACAACCAATTGATTACAAAAGTATGAGCGAAGGAAAGGAAACTTCAGTTAAAGCAATCGACAGTGATGCAGGAAACGATAGCGACGTTGACGGCGAACAGGATCAGGAATGGGAAGCTCTGATGGAGGAGCTCGCCGAAGAAGAAAAGCGACGAGAAGAGCTGTTAAAGAATAAGCAATCAGCCCAACGTACTCGAGAAAAGATGCAGTTAAAAGAGAAAATCGCTAACCTGTACAGCGCATGCACATAACATCAATCTCCAAAACGGCGGACGATATTAGCTAAACTCGGTAAATTTTTTTTAAAGTATTTGAAATATAATATCAGTTTAAAAACCCATTTTTGTGATGTAAGATGTTCGAGTGGTTCTAGAATGGATAGAACTTTGTTTTTTTACTCGATATTTGTCCATCGTGCAGTTTACAGCGGCCACCAGTCAAACATGAACCGACCGAGGTATTTACAGATATTTAAGATGCTGTGTGTCTAATTAATAATACCAAACCTGTTCTGCTATAAGTGCATAGCCCAAATCACTGTTGATAAATTCAAATGTTTCTCCAAGTAAAGGGTTAAATGGCTTCCAAAATCTGTTCAATGAAACAAGATATCATGTAGCCAGTTTGTTTTAATTCAATGAGTTTGATATACTTGATGCCTTCAGGGAATAGTCGATACATTTTCAGTATGCTATTTATTTGTGAATAGGATTTATATCAGTATTATTACAATTTTAGATGATTTGTTCCATAAAATTGATCAAGGCCCAGCAAGGCAGTATACAGTATTTCACATAGACTGCTTGTACTTAATATTCACACAACTTGTCTGGATTTTGGCTTTAGGTTTAAATCCTTATGCAATTCAAAAACATTTTCACATCTCACCTTGAAAGAACGGTTGAATATGTTGAACAAGCAAAGGCTCCCACATGTGCAATTCTAACCAAGGAATTCTTTGACACTAAATGAATAGAGGATAGTAGTCTCACAATGGACGATAAAATCCACATCTTCAAGCACCATGTAATATTTTGCTTATCATTATAATTATATATGAAAGCACATTATGCTGTAAAAGTACCTTTTTTCACTTTAAATAACAACAACATAAATTTTAAGATACATACATCACTATTGATAAACCAAAAGTAATAGCAGCTAGAATGGAATATGTCTGCTGGAATCAAAATAACGTACCACAAGCCCTGTTTAATATATCAGCATACTCTAAATCTTCTGCTAGTCTCTAAAGGGCAATTACAGCATTAGTATTGAAGGTTAGGGGTTATAGATTCCCCAGACTGTGAACTAACCTGAAGGAAAGACAGTGGTTCATTGAAGTGTACTGGCATTGTTACTTTAGTCAAGTCCTTACCAACAACAGATTTCATGAATCTGAAAACAAGATTTCAAAAAATACCAAGTTGTGGTTGATTGTTTTTGTGGTTTGTGAAGTTATGATTCAACCTGCAGTAATTTAATACACTGAGTATAGCATTATTATGTCATAGCACATGATAAAATAATAAATTGATAAAGAAATATTTCTACATAATATAGTTTTAATCAGTCAGTTGAATGAGCAAAGATGCCTAGTCTAATTGTACCTTATTAGAGATTTAATGGAGGTTCTTTCTCTTGTTACCGGAAGACCAAGCCGCGTAACTTTTCTTTCTGTGAATACTATAAAGACAAACCATCTAAGCTGTGATATTCTTATCAAGCACAGTTATTGTTATTTTGACTGCTGATTTTCTAGACAGTAGGATTTAAAGCTCTATTATCTGTTTATTAGCTTTGGCTAATGAAGGATTACTGTATTCCTATTATATGCATGTCCTTGTAAAGATTGAAAGATTCAAGCAAACTATAAAGCAGCAGTATGTAGTAAAAAGAATGACTTAGAACTACATTCATACTGTCTTCAACAAACAATAATGCCACATAAAGATGACATGGTTAGCAATATGCAGACACATAATTCCTACTTAGTGTGAATAACAAAAAACACACCTTCCAAAGAAATATGAAAATATGATTTAATTATATGGAAGTGGAAAGCAGTGAGACCTACATATTTGCAGTGTAGCTATCAATACAATGACATTTGTGTAACAACAGCAGAACTGTGAGATAATCTCAATGTTATTTTCAGTTTCGACTCCATCATGATGAAAGATGACAAAACAGTGAAGAAATGACATTAAAGAAGCAATATTCCAAGGTCAATAGGTAAATAACGTAAGTATAATGGACTATGTCACGACTACACTTCTAAACAATATGCTTTTTAAATATTTACAATCGATAATCGTCAAACATTTTTAAAGATGAATAAATTATCCCGGACGATGTAAGTTTGAGAGTCTTACTTGGGTTACGTCTCAGTTCGTTGAATTCATCTTCATAATCTTCGTCGATGGGATCCTAGTCAATTTCACAAATAATATTAGTGGATAAATAACTGTACAGCTCTACTTGCAATGCCAGGTCTCTGGTTATGACTTATTTATTATCAAAGAATTTAATCGTTCGTCCGCATAAAGCACTTTTTTAAAATAAACCAGTAGAAATACGTACTATGAAAAGGGATCCTAATTTAGGGGATGTTTGGAGGATATGGATGAGTCAGGTCTCGTATATTTGCCGCATTTATTCGATTACACGGTCGGCTTTGTCAGTGGAAATATGCAGGACCAGGGAAATCATCCCGACTGTCATCACTTCCATCTCCAGAAAAATAAATGGTCGGGAAAAAAATACTAATCAAATACTCGGAACAAAGAACGGAAAAGCTTATCCCACGCGACTACGAAAGTTCTTCCGTTTTTGCATTCGAGTTAAAAATATAGTTACAATTTCTTATTTGGGTTAGTTTGGAATTATTTCAAGCGAATTTCTTTGTAATTGCTGAAGAAGAAAATGTGATTGATGGAGCTGGATATCCAGGCTACTTATACAATCAGACTTAGGTGGTCTTACATTAAGAGCCAAAAAATGAATCACTCAATCAACTTCGTGTACAATCAATTGATGTATGAAATCAAGAATTAATAGACAAGGCTTTCTTTGTTTAGATTGAAATACGAAAAAATATGTATAAAATCAATATGAGCGACGTCGTGTGCGTAAAGCAGGACTGTACTCGTAAATGAATCATTAGATGCTGTGGCATAATATTCACGGCTGACAACAAATCTTGTCAGGGCAAAATCACATACAAATTAAAAGCCTTAAAGATTCCCCAGCTTCTAAATCGCGACCGATGAAAATCCAATGCAACGATTCAAAGAGAAGATAAAAGCAATTATTTGCAAAACAGGATCAGCGTCGTAAGTAGAATTCGAACGTACCTTGTGTGGACATTGGGATTCTGTCATTCCCGTCTTGATCATTTCTAAAACACTGCTAAATTCCGTCAAAACTCTATTTCTTTAAGAATTAAGAACTACGATTGCCTAGAATATCCATATAGAATACTGTTCGTTCGACGACTGATTCGTTGTGGATTTCTGTTTTCTTTCGTATCCAAGACCGCTGAGAATCTTGGGAGACCCGCAGGTGTATTTGATTGTGGCATGGAAACGAGGTTAATTATTGACGTCAAGTTGCATAGCGACCCTTTTTTTTTGGAGGAGGGGGGGGAGGGGAGGGGTGATTTCTTCTTGTACACAAAATAACGTCTAGAAGACAAATATCGGTTCGTGACGGTTTTTTTGTGGTATTCTGGTTGAGTCTAATATACATATATCTGTTCTTTGAAGGATTCAAGGACATACCCATAGACATTCTATGATAATCAGACAGAAGTTACTAGACTAATAACCACCGTTTAATATCGCATAATTTCGTTCACTTGAAAGGATATAATAATTGTTAGATGAGAATGAATAATTTATATGAGGTGAACGAGCACACATCATACGTACACATTCACCCGCATATTGTATTGGTGGTCGTACTACGGCCAAGGTTAATCCGTATCATTGGTTAAAGGTGGTGGTTCGGTGTCCCCGACAACCTAGGGGTCAAACTAGAGTTATCCAGCTCCCAAATGTGCCTTTTGTGCATACTGATATCATTGGCGAATGGGTACCGATATAAGAGGGTCTCAATGGGGTTAACCGTGAGCCGTGAAACGACTGAAAAATTAGCCGTTAGTCGTGAAAATGCGAAAAAATTAGCCATGAGGCGTGAATATTTTTTTATAGCGTGAGCCGTGGGGTTAGGATTAGGGCAGGCGCGCGCTTGTAATTTTTTTTTTTTTGTAATTTTTTTTGTAAATGCTCTATTCGCAGAGTAGCTCATTTAGTGCATCGAAGACCTGAATTGAGCGGGAGCCTGCGTCACGCTAAGTGTGGCAAGAAACTAAAGCTACTCGGAATAGAACGTTACAATAATGAATCGACATCTTTTTTTAGATTGCTAATAAAGTTATAAAAGATTTTTTAATTCTTAGATAGTATTTTTGGGACAGTTGTTTTGTACATTTTAAAACTCCCGCTCATTTAGTGCATCCAAGACCTGAATTGAGCGGGAGCCTTCGTCACGCTAAGTGCGACAAGAAGCTAAAGCTGCTCGAAATAGAACGTTATAATATGAATCGACATCCTTTTTTAGATTGCTAATAAAGATATAAAAGATTTTTTTGACAAAACAAAACTAGCACTCATCTATTAGTATGTTAGTACATCGAAGACTTTGAGCGGGAGCCGATCATATATCCACTTCTTAAAAAAAAGGACGGTTCTCAGGAAATTGAAACACAAGAKATGACAATAATTATGCAAAAATAAATGAATAAATAAAAAAAAAGATAAACAATAAATAAAATAAAAAGGAAAAAACAAAATCATTAAATGTCTCCTCCAGGGAATCGATCCCGCTACCGTCAAACCTACATTGGATTTGCAAGCGGCGCCTAATAACGCGGTGCAACACTGGATCACTCTCATTTACATAATAATAGACCACTTGACAATTTCACCGAATATACAACCCCAATTTGACATTATATTTTCGATAGTTGCCTAGTTAGTGCAAGGGGTTATCCATCATTGTCTAGGGGCCGGATAGCTTCTCCCTCACTGGCTTTTTAGTTAGCGCGATGTTAGGACCAATTATCGGGGCCGACATGGAAGAGCCGAAATCTCTAACCGGAATGTAAATCGATTCGCCGCCTCAGCTTCACAGAATGTCTCGGGGGAATCGTCCCAACCTTTTTTCGATTTTATGGTCATRGGTTCGAATCHMAVTACTCAAGTTTTTTCTTTTTTCATATTTCTTCTTTTTTKTTGCTTTTTGTTGTTGTCTTTGAATTAGCTTCCTATGCATTAATGTTTAAGTACAAAATCTGCAGAATCATKTAGTAATTACTTCTATATATTTTCTATAATGTGATATTTGAAAGCGCGCTTTCATTGTATTGCTTGTTTTCATTAAATAAGTTTTCACAGCGCGGCGATTGCGCAACCGAGAATCAATTTTTAAACAGAGTGTCCGAGTTACGTTTGCTATTCGTACGGACATGGTATATATCTGACATTTTAAAGTAATTATATAAGATATCGATTTTAAAATACTATAATTTTGTTTAGAGTCAAATAATAATATGAATACGCTACAAACTTCTGATTTTGCCATGCACATTTAGCCCGGCATAGAATACATCATCGCGAAAAGCGAAACTTAATGAAATTTCGTAAACTCCGATGTCAGACACGGACTGCAGCAATGTCACTACTATGTTCTCAATACCTGCTATGTTTAACACTTTTTGGATTTTTTTGTGTGTATTATGAATTTATGATTAATCATTTTTTCGTGGAAATAGTCGCATTTCGGCTTATTTGAAATAGAAAAATACATGTCCGTACGAATAAGTCACGCAATCTATTAATACGAAAAAAGAAAAAGCAATGAAAAAACGTAATTCAAAAATTTCTAAAAGTAATCTAGTTCACCGTGATTCGAAAAAATGGTCGTGAGTCGGCAATAATTCACCCTAGTCTGGTATAAAGTGTTCATGAGATTGTGTTTGTCTTATTTCAGAAAAGAGAAAAAGACGAAAGGATTACAAGAATGCTTGAAGAAAAACTGAAAGAATGTAAGCATCGTACTTTAAATAAATTCAATGACTAATGATTTTTTGCAACGTTTTTTTATTCCAGGAAAACTTTATTTACAAATAATGCTAATAATAGAGTCAATTTCGTGTGAGTGAAACGAACGGTACTGTACTGTGACCGTAATCGACCTGTAACCAAATTMTAGTGCCCCATTGGTTCACTAAAATTTTGCAGGCCAGGTCTGGTAACTCAGGTGCGGGCCGTGCGGTAATTAACAGTGTCCCACTCATACGAAATCCGCTCTAATGATATAAACGTTTGTACAGCAATATGCAGAAATTATGATCATTTTGACTCCTATTCCAAGTACATGTATATACAGAATATATCGGAAATTATGGGATATCATCACCAATATTTCTTTGAAGTTGCCTAGCACTTTCTCAAAAAAATATTGGCCATTTTTTATATTTATACGTAGTTTGTTTAATCAACCATGAATAATTTTAAATTTCTTTCCAAGCTTTCGACCTAAGCGATCATCTTCAGGGAACACAAAGACGTTACAAAAACAAAAACGCATTTTGAATTTTTGTTTATCAATAACGAAGGCGACTTTGATTATTTTATCGGCATCTTTTTAAAAGTATTTATTTTCTTGGTCTGAGAGGTCAACAATTTGAGTTAAAAACGCATTAGATATGATATCACTTAGCGACATCTAGTCTATCGGGTATTAATTACATGATCTTTTAGGTCAAAATTTAGATTTCTATCGCGGGTTTGAAATCGTTGCAGAGAGCAGTCAAAAAGAATATCGTATCGTGTGAATAAACCGGCACGCATTCTTGCTTTCACTATCATCACTATGTATTAGAAGTAAAAAATATAATATTCTACGCCATGATATACATTGAAAAATAGCTAGTCCGACTTCACGCTCCAAGAGCGTCTAGTTCACAGACGG